ATGTAAAATCTTGCTTTATTGTTGTTGTTGTTAAGTGTCCTAATGCATAACCACCTTGTATAGTGTTTCCAAGGAACTGCTGGTGAGTTTGAATTACCCATCTTGCAGTTCAAATCAGTCTTGTGGTTGAGCGGTTATCCTACAGTGCCACACCAGGACTCCAAAATATTGCTTTAGTTTTTATAATTTTAACTTCGTCCATGTAGTATTTATCTACATAATTTTTCCTCAAAAACTATAAATCCTATCATAATCATAATGCAATAATGTCTAGAGCTTCAATACTTACACTCCCAAAATGTACTGAAGTAGGTAGGGTTTATCTAATTGGTACTTTTGAGCATCATTTAAACCCGGTATTTTTTTGCTATTAAAAAATGTAAGTATTTTCTCTGTTTTTAAATTCTGAACTCAATCATGAAATTGTTTAGGTAACATATAAGAGTATTTACTATAAATAACTATTTTCCATTCTTAAGATTTGGGCTAAGGAAATGAAAATATAGAAATATTTGGTATAATGTGCCAAATACCCTCTAGCAATAATGACAATTTGTGTTTTAAACTTATTGCTAATGGTTTCAGTACAAATTAATACAAATTTTTGCAAACTGCATGGAATATTAATAATATTCTTAAAATTTTGTTTCCTGCTTATGATTGAATTCTTCAACAGCATCACATTTAGGGAGCTGATTTATTTTTACCACAATCTGAATTATGAAAAACAGCTATACCTGAAAATTTTTGCCTGAAAACTATTATAGATTTTTTTAAATATGAAGCATAGATCAAATCTGTATTTACCATAAATTCAGCTGACTGTGCTTCTTTAGATCTTATTTTGAAGATCAAAAAGGAAAATACATTTATAACAGTATTTTAGGAAAAGACAACTCATCCAAATCCTAACAGAAATTAGAATAGCCATATTCTGTCATGTGTTTCTCTTTAAACCTTATGGTAGTTGCTATTGATTTGGTTATTATTTCATAAGAGTATTTATAAATCATTTATATATCTAGGGTTTTTTTCTAATTTTTCTTTTAAATTTCACATTATAGTTTAAGAAGTATGACTTTCTACTATATACTAGACATTGTCTTTGCATTATTTACTATATATTATTTTTGTTGTTGTTAAGTGCTGTGGAGTTGGTTCTGACTCATAAAGATCCAGTACAGGGTTTTCAAGGAATGGCTGATGTGTTTGAACAGCTAACTTGCAGTTAGCAGTCTAGTGTTTATCCTACAATGCCACACCAGGACACTGAAAATAGACATGAACTAGTTAGATGTAACCCCTATCTTCAACAGAAGAAGCACAGTTTCTAATGTTAGTAGATTGAAAACAAATATTTATAATTTTTCAACTATTACTTAGCCTATTAAAATTTCAAATAATAATTTACTCTATTTAAAAATAACTATTTTAGTGTCAATTACTTATAATTAGTTTTATTTTTGTTTCTTAAATAAACCGAACAAAACAAACACTTGCTTTAGAGGCAACTCTGAATCATGATGACCTTCTAAATGTGTCAGAGTAGAACTGTGCTCATAGGGCTTTCAGTGGCTGATTTTTCAGGAATGCCTAACAAATAACTTCTAAATTAGTGTTGTTGGGCAGACTTAACGATCTGAAAAAAGAGATTCAGGTTTATATCTTGGTGTTTTGTGCCGTTGAAGGGAAAGTTTGATAAAAGATTATATGTGAGTTATGATGGATGAATGTAAGTTTAAGAGTTTAGAGATCTCTATACCATAATTTGGAGTCCTGGTGTGGCGCTGTGGATTAACTTGCTGGACTGCAAAGTCACTATGAATCGCACAACTTTGGGGACCTTCATTTGCTGATATGGCATGACTCAAAATCAGAAGAAACACATGCAAACATCCATGAATAATCAGAATGTTGAATGCACAAGGTATGAATCAAGGAAAACTGGAAGTCATCAAAAATGAAATAGAAGGTATAAAGATGGATATCCTGACATTCGTAAGCTAAAATGATCACATGTTGGGCATTTTGAATAGGACAATCACACGGCTTTCAATGCTGAGACTGACTAATTGAAAATGAATGGCATTGAATTCATCGTCAAAAAGCATTTCAAGATCTATCTTGTAATACAGGGCTATCTGTGATAGGATAACATTGACATGCTTACAAGGAAAACCAAGGAACCCTGGTTGTGCAGATCCACCACCTGCTCCAGGGCAGAAACGTGAAGCTGCTTGGCATAAAGATTTATAGTAAATCCTAAAGAACAAGTTTACTCTTTTTCAGATGCTCATTGTGACTCAAAATTGACTCCACGGCAGTGGATATATGAGAAGACCAGTTAATATGAATATCATTCTAATTTATACCCAATCACTAATGTCAAATATAAAGAAATTGAAGAATTCAACTAACATCTGCAGTATGCAATTGATCAATTGATCAATTATTTAATTAAGATATATGAAAATTCCTGGCTGATTCAAATGCACAATTTAGAAACAAAGAGGAAAGACTAAAAGTTGGAAAATACAGCCTGGTGACAGAAACAGAGATCACATGATAGAATTTTGTGAGATCAATGACTTATTCACTTTAAATACCTTTTTTTGGCAGCATAAATGGTGACTAGACAAGTGAACCTGGCCAGATGGATACACAATTAAAGCTTATGAAAGCAGCAAGCAAGAAATCAAACGACATATTTCACTGAGTAAATCTGGCACAAGTATCCTCTCTGAAGTGTTACAGAGCAAAGATGCCTCTTGAAGAACTAAGGCACTCCTTGCCCAAGCCATCATATTTTCAATCACCTCATATGCATGCAAGAACTGGACAATAAATAAGAAAGACCAGAGAAGAATTGAGACATTGAATTATGGTTTTGCAAAAAGTACTGAATATGGCCTTAACTTCCAAAAGAAGAAACAAATATATCTTAGAATAAGTACAGAAGGAGTGCTCATTAGAAGAGAGGATGGCAAAATGGAGTCCTGATTTGGTGCTGTAGGATAAGCACTAGACTGCTAACTACAAGGTTAGTAGTTCAAACCTATCATTTGCTTCTTGAAAACCCAACACAGGGTTGCTATGAGTCAGAACCAACTTGATAGCACTTAACTACAACAACAACAATGGTACAGTCTTATAAGAAGCATAAGTACACTTAATGTCATTAAATGGATAAATGGCTATTAATGCATTTAAACATGGAGATTTTAAAAATCTTTTAATTTTTTTTTAATGTAAGATCTTGTGCAGTTATGTGAAATTTACTGGTCATTGTTGAATCTGTAATATAGTTAAGCAATAGAATGTAATTATGAATGACAATTACATATGGAATTGGGGGTCTTAATACATTTCAATTATATCTACTTAAACAAGGTCATTAAGGAGCTCTAGTAGCATAGTGGTTAAGAGTCAGGCTGGTAATCTCAAGGTCAGCAGTTCCATAGGAGAACGATGAGGCTTTCTGCTCCTGTAATGATTTACAGTCTTGGAAACCCTATACAGGGTCAGTATGAATCAGAACCAACTCCACGACACATAACCACCACCACCACCAGCAAGCAAGGTCATTGACCTCTGGGCTTCAAATTCTTGAAAGTTAAAATGAGATAGCTATCAAACTCAGATTATAAAAAACATAACAAAACTTGGATTATAGGAGTACATGAGAACCTGTACTGTGTGGGCAGGACCTCTCATAGCTCTTGATGCAAATTACACACTCAGGAAACATGTTTCCTTTCCTAACTGAAACACAGTCAACTTCTTTTTAAAAATCTTTATAATTCAGGGACAAGAAATTGTTCCTTACCTGCATTGTTTCAAGTCGAGAATAATAATAAAGAAAAAATGGGAATAAATATAAAATATATTCTATTTTATTTTTAAGTGTCATGAAACTGACACTATCATAGCCCCCAAATTAGACATGTTATAAAAAAACAAAACAAAATGTTGTTTATTCTTCAACTGTTTTTCTTCTGGGTTGATAAAAACATTTTCTAAAAATAAAATGTATACAGTAATATATTTACAAAGTTATCTTTACATTATCTATTTAAGCTATGTATGCATGGTCAATATGGCAATACTGATCAACACAGAATCCTAACCCATATCAAGATAGCTATATGCCAGTTAATGCACTGGACTGCAAGGTCAGTGGTTCAAACTCATCAGCCACTACTCCGAAACCCTATACAGGGTTGTTATGGGTCGGAACCAACTCGAAGGCACTTAATAACAACAACAACCATTAAATATCTGGGATGTGTGTGGTGCTGTGGGTTAATGTGCTGGACTGCAAAGTCAGTTTGAACCACAAGGTCAGTGGTTTAACTTCACCAGCTGCTCCTTGGAAACCATTTACTGGGTCACTATGGGTCAGAACCATCTTGACGGCACTTAACAATAACAACAATGCACTTTATGAGACCAAGCAGTGTGAGAATTTCAAAATTAGAGCTTTTGGAGAATTTGTTTCTGTGCTGCAAAAAAACTCAATGGATTTTTAAAAAAAAATACATGTTGGTTCATCTCTGGTGGGACATTTAAGACTCAAACTCATTATTTCAGCATTGGAATAGATGCAGTTTGTGTGTGTGCATCTGTATGTAAGAGAAAATTTGATGGCAAATACACCTAAATACAAATATAATTTTCTGCTACTATGATGCTACTCAGCAAATTACTTGATTTATATATCATTATCTTTAAAGGAGCAAAACCGTATCCAGCTCAAATTAAAAATGAGATAATGCCTGTAAAGTGTTTAGTACAGTGCCCAAAAACTAAGGAAGAGTTTAAAAATGTTAACATTTTATGATTATTAGAATTTAAAGTATGAGATTAGATCAATCACCAATTCTTATATAAAAACCTTTAAATCAAAATGTGATTTCTAAAGTACTAAATAGATTCAATTATATAGCAAGTAGTGTCAAGGAATAACAAATCATATTATACAATATTTTTAAAGAGCATACCATATCCTACGGTAGAAAGACCCAAGTGTTTCATTCTATTTTTCACAAGTTCAGCAAGCTCTTGTCTTTCTGACCTCCTGTAGAGGTTCAATCGCTGCTGCGTTATTTTCTCAGCTGTTTTACCAGCGTGTTTTGGACCTTTTCTGCTTAGTCTTCGGGCCCACTGCATACTCTTTCTTCGCAGCAAAGGGTGGTCTGACTGGTCACTTGATGTTGAGTTGCGGTGGCAGCTGCGGTGATGACCTTGTTCTTTGATGTCTTTGGTGTCTTCCCACTCTTCTACAGTGATAGATATTTGAGACTTTAAAGAAGATGGATATTGATAATTAGATATTTTAGAAATAATGATAGCCGGGAGTTGAAATATTATTCATTTGCAAGTATCATGGCATAATTATATACCCACTCATGTGAATTTTCAGAGAAAGAACAAAATCATAATCATTGATTCTGATTATGTTACTAAAAATATATTTAGAAATATGATTTTGAACTTACATGTGAACCAGAAAACCTATCTTTGCATTGTCAAATACAGATTTTCAATAAAATATTTAATTTTTATGCATTAGAGTTTTCTTTCATGTTACACAGTTAATATATGATTATCTGAAATATACAAAATAAACCTAGATATTTATAATTTTGTTTATATAATGTTCAGGTAATGGACTTTTAGCAATCTACTACAAATATTACATATGGAACTTAAATAAATATTATACAAAATGTTTTAATTTTAGAAGTATGAATATTTTTCAATGATTTTGAGATTATTGCTCTTTCTATAATGGAACTGGAATGAACTTCTTTAAATGTGAAATTTTTTTAGTTCCTCATATGATATGCAAGGAAAAAAAGCCCCCTTTAAATTCATGCATTCATAATATATCACAAAAAATGCTTTTCTGGTTAAAATATTATAGCATATTTTAGCAATTATTCTGTGTTCTTAATGAAAATATGCTGTTAATGTTTCATAACTATGTTATAGAATCACAACTATAGGAGGAAAAACAAAGAATAAATTCATGTCTATTTGTCTTTGTTCTTTCAAGATTAAACGTGAATTTTAAAGAAAGGAGGTTTCCTTTGATTATAGGTTTAAAATATAAGAGCTTCCTGTTTCAAAGTGGTTGCTTTTCATTCGAGGAAGCCACATTAAAAGCCATAGTGAATAAAGCAAAAGTCTTACTTTCTAACATGCACATGCAAATGAACAACTTCCTGAGTTCTAGTATACATAAATGCAGCATTCATGAACCACCTGACTGCATTTCCCTTCTATGAACGGGAGTTTGAACTTCAATTATCACATGCATGTATTGCTGACTTTTGAAGTAATAGAATTTAAATTACCAATTTAAGTAAGGTCGAGAAGTAGATCCAATAAAATCCTTTAAAAGTGAATATAAGTTATTGAGGCTTTCATACAATTCCTAGTGGCTAGCTATAAAATTATGTCACACTTAAATTCAAATATTCATATCTATTTCAAACCTATACTATATCAGCATGATATTAAAAAGTATATAACTGTCACAAAAATAATGAATTAAAATATTTTAGAACTCAAATGTTAGTTATCATAACTTGAAAGTATAATGATGTTTTAAATAATATGGTTTTATAGTAATAGATAAGTTAATAATTCTTAATTTACTCAATTTTGACCTTACTTGGTAGTATAAAGAAAAGCCCCTTTCACAGAACTAAAATACATACACTATTGAGTTAATATCGTGCTCAGTTGTTTATATATGTTGTTTTGTTAAGTAGCTTCTATACAATTATTACTCACAGCAACCCTGTACAGAGTATCTGAGGAGGAGCCAGTGAGTTTGAACAACCCACTTTGCAGTTCAAACCGACCTTGTGGTCGAGTGATTATCCTACAGCACTTGGAAATATAACGAAAATTCCCTTTTATAGAATTAAAATACATACACTACTGAGTAATTATGCATTTCCCATCTGGTGCATAGTCATACAGTGTTTCACTGCTACACATTTGGTTTTCAGTGACTAAATATTTGGAAATAGTCAACCTCTCCTTCTACCTAGTCTGCCTTGGTCTGTTGGCTCAGCTGAAACCTGTTCACCAAGGGGTGACCATATTTATATTTAAAATACAGGTGACATAACTTCCAGAATCATAGCAACACACAAGGCACCATAGTATGACAAATGAAAGACAAGTGTATTCCACCAGATGTAATACACAGCAATCAAACTGACTACATCTATGGAAAGAGACAGTGGAAAAGCTCCAAATAAAGAGCCAAAACAAGGCCAGGGGCACACTGTGGATCAGACCATCAATTACTTATAAGCAAGTTCAAGCTGAATCAAAAGAAAGTTAAAACAATTCCACAAGAGCCAAAATATGACTTTGAGCATTGTTGTTGTTGTTGTTGTTGTTGTTAAGTGCTATCAAGTCAGTTAAGACTCATAGCAACCCTGAATAGGGTTTCCCAGGAGTGGCTGGTGAGCTTGAACCACCGACCTTTAAATCAACCTTGCAGTCCAGCGCATTAACCCACAGTGCCACACCAGGACTCACTGAACATATCCCACCTGAATGTAGAATGGATTTGATGCATTAGACATTAAACATCAAAGAATAAGAACACTGTACATAAAGAAAGCAAAAGATCATTAAGAACACAAGAGAGAAATAAAAGATCAAAATGGATGTCAGAGAAGACTCTGAAACTATCTCTCCAGCATATAGATGGTAAAGAAAATGGAAAAAATGAGGAGGTAAAGAGCTGAACAGAACATTTCAAAGGTCAGCTCAAGAAGACAGAGTCAAATATAACAAAATGGGCAAAGACCTGGAGTTGGAAAACCAAAAGGAAAGAACATGTTTAGCATTTCTCAAGCTGAGGAAAAAAAAAAAAAAAAAATCCAATCCTTGACTTGCAATAATTCTATGGGCAAAAAAGAACCAATATATCTGTTTTGGAAGAAGTGCAGCCAGAGTGCTCCTTAGAGGCCAAGATGGCCAAACTTCGTCTCTCATACTTTGGACATATTGCCAGGAGGGAACAGTTGCTAAAGAAGGATATAATGCTTGGTAAGATGGAGGGTCAGAGAAAAAGAGGAAGACCCCCAATGAGATAGATTGGCCAGGTGGCAGCATCGATGGACTCAAGTGTGACAACAGTAGTGAGGTTGGCCCAGGATCAGACATTGTTTCGTTCTGCTGTGCATAGGGTCTCTATGAGTTGGTGCCGACTTGATGGCACCTAACAACAACATGGGCACAATATTGAATGATGCAGAAAACATAAAAAGAAGATGAAAGGAAAATACAAAGTCACTGTTCTGAAAAGAAATGGTGGATGTTCAACCATTTCAAGAGGTATTGTAAGATCAAGAGCCAATGGTCCTGAAGGAAGAAGTTCAAGGTGCATTAAAGGCATTGGCAAAAAATAATATTCCAGAAATTTATGAAAGACAAACTGAAATCATTCACCTCATGCGGCACTGGAGGCACTCACTCATCTATGCCAAGATATTTAGAAGGCAGCTACCTGGCTAACTGACTGGAAGAGATACATATTTGTGTCTATTCCAAACAGAGGTAACAAAGTAGAAAGCATATATCATCAGACAATACCATTAATATCACATGCAAGTAAAATTTTGCTAGAGATAATTCAAAACAAGCTGCAATGGTACATTGACAGAGAATGACCAGAGGTTAAAGCCAGATTCAGAAGAGGATGTGGAACAAGGGATATCACTGCTGACAGCAGATGGATCTTGGCGGAAAGCAGAGAATACAAGAAAGATGTTTGCCTGTGCTTTATTGACTATGCAAACACTTTTGATTGTATGGCTCATGACAAACTATGAACAACATTGTACAGATTGAGTATTCCAGAACATTTAATTTTGCTTACGAGGAACCTGTACATAGATCAAGAGGTAGTTGTTTGAAGAGAACATGGGAATACCAAATGGTTTAAAATTAGGAATGGTGTGTGTCAGGGTTTTATTCTTTCATCATACTTATTGAATTTTTATGTTGAGTACATAATCCAAGTAGCTGGATTATATGAAGAAGAATATGGTATCTGGATTGGAGGGTGACTCATTCACAACATGTGATATGCAGATGTTACAACCTTGTTTTCTAGAAGCAATGAGGGCTTAAAATATTTATTGATGAGGAACAAAGGTCACAGCTTTTGGTGTGGATTGCACCTCAATGTAAAGAAAACAAAAATCATCACCACTGGATCAATAAAGAACATTTAGATAAATGGGGAAAACATGAAGTTGATTTTAAAAGAAGAATTCATTTTACTCTTATCAACTACCAACACTCTTGGAAGCAGCAGTCAAGAAATCAAATGACGTACTACATTACACAAATCTTTAAAGTGTTCAAGAGCAAAGATGGCATTTTGAGGACTAAGGTGCGCTTGATTCAAGCCATGGTATATTCAATAATTCCATATCATGTGAAAGTTGAACAACTAATAATGAAGACCATAGAATATTCAATACATTTTGAGTTATGATGTTGGAGGAGAATATTCAAAGTACCATGGACTGCCAAACAACAAATAAATATGTGTTGGAAAAAGTACAGCCAGAATGATCCTTGGAAGCCAGGATGGCCAGACTTAACCTATCATACTTCAGACATTTTATCAGGAAGGACCAGTCATTAGAGAAAGGCATCATGCTTGGTAAAGTGGAGGGTTCAAGAAAAAGAGGAAGATACCCGTTGAGATTCATTAGCACAGTGGCAGCAGCAATGGGCTCAAGCA